GCGGTCCACCACCGTGCGTTTTACTAGGAGTTTCTTTCCTCATACAACTTCTCTGTGGAGTAGTTTACCACCGGCGATTTTTCCGGACCGATACGACTTAGGGACCTTTAAGAAAAGAGCTTACTCCTTTCTAAAAGGCCAGCAACGCACCTACGACGGCGTTGTTTCGGTTGTACATGAGCGGCGGTAGTCACTTACCATCAGGTGAGCCGCATGCTCGTTTGCCCCCCCCCTTCTATTAAAATAAAAATTCATCACCCTTGTCGAGCCGACTTATTCGTGTTGCAGCCATTGTACGCTGCGACATAGCTGGAGTATGGGCGATGAGAACGTTCATCACGTTCTGTAGTGCTGTCCTCTGTTTGATTATATAAGAAAGCATATGCTAGATAAAATAAAGAGTAAGGAGGCAGGATAGGAATCGTGTTTTGATTCAGTCAAATTTTATTTGAGTTTAAGGTAATTTCTTACTTTCAAAACCGTAGCTAGCGCAGAATCTGATGACTTAAATTGGAATTATCCGAACGAAAGTCAAATAACCGCCACTAGATGTCGTAATTTTTTTAATTTTGGCCATTAATACAATAAAATATTTAAGAAATTAATATTTTAATTTACCAAAAATAATATCCGGAAAAAATATCGGTTTGTGGTCTATAGGCACTGATAAGGCTTGATCGTTACTCAATTGTATTTCTCGTTTCTAATTGGTTCAGATCTAATGCAAAAGAGCTGAGTAGGCTTTTAAAATCAATTCGAAACAACGTCAGTTTGAATCGAAAGCTGAATTGAATTTGAAAACAATTGCGGGAGTAAGCCTGCTGTTTATTAAGGTGATATCGTTTCTTATGAGGCGGAGAGACGTTTGGGACCGTGTTCGCGCTGCTAAGAGTGGAAGCTGAAGGCATAGAATATGTATTTTCAGGCACATTGGTAACAAGAAAAGGGGTTGGATTAGAGAAATTCGTGGGGAGTCTGAAGCAAGTACCATATAGTTAGTACATACAATTGTATGGTTAGGAGGAGCATGAGACCAGAATCAGTTCCGAACCCTCCATGGGAGAACGTAAAAAAAAGGATTGGATTATAGAAGTTTGCAGGTACTCTGCTTTTCCCACTTTCGGAACGTATTACGGGATGATTGGAGGAGACATGGGGTGGTAGGATCTTGTTCTGGTGTGATTGTATATGTGTGTCTGATATTTCATCTAAATATCACCCTAACATATAAATATTAAATGGGATTCGATAAAGATTGGTGATTTACACAAAATAAACAAAAATAAATGTAGTAGCCTAAAAATCTGCAATTTTCAATAAAAAAAATTAAAAGTCCAATATCTCGAAAAGGGTTAAGTTTAGGGTAGGGTGTTTCATAGTGAAATAAGTCAGAAATGATAGGTACTCCACGCCCTTAACCTATCTAGCACGTTTTTCTTGTAACCCTGTATAGTCTATGTTACCCTCGCAATTGTGACAAATTATTGAGATATATTTTATCCAGTAACATCTTTAAGTATTACGCCTGAATATAGAAACAGATTACCGTGTGAATTAGTGGTATAAAAATACCCGCTATCCCATATCATCTCGTGTGTGTCGTAAATAGCGACGGTGAGAAACAGATCAGGAGATGGTTTTTAATAACCCGCTTGCTAAGTGTGACAATTATGGAAAATATAGCCACAATAAATCAATGAATGTGGGAGCCCTATGTTCAGTAGTGGACTTTAATAGGCTGGAACGATTCCGGCAACGTTATAGAAACGAATATACAATACTAACTAAAAACATAACCCTTCTTTTAGGCTTTGGCTTTGCCCCGCATAAAAGAGCTAAAGTAGTCTCTTTTAGTAGCTTTTAAACAAATGCCGACAGTAATAAATAGCTTCACATCCATTCCAGTCAATTTAATTTATCTACCGTGACGTATTTCGGGACATAATTTTATTTATCGTAAAACGAGTTTTAGGGCGTTGTATAAACTTGGGAATATTTTACGGCCCAAATATAAAGTTATTTATGCAAATGTTTAAGAATTTAGATATGCGTTAAATCGATAAAGGAAACTCTTTTAGGCAATGTAGGCTTCTAAATATGTCTGTTGTAGAAATTTTCCTGATATCACTTCAAAATAATAAAAAACTGTGTTTGATAACTCGATGAGGCAGTCTGTGAGGGAAGACCATGTTCAGCCGTGAATTTTTATAGGCTGTAATGGATGGACAAGAGATAACTAAGCAAAAATATTGTTTGGTGACCACGTAGCACAATCTATCACCGCATCTATTCGCCTCGGCGAAATATCTAGAAGATCAGTGTGACTTATAAAAAATGGCGATAACTATCTCATACATCTATAATATTAGATGTGCAATGGTGAGTAGCGTCAAAGATACGTACACTAACATAACGATTATATCAAATCGATCGTATTATAAAAAGACCTCGTTTAGCAGTATATATCAAATGTTACGGGTTAACAAGAATCGTTTCAAATACGACATAATTATAGTACTTGATGTTTAAAAGCAGCCACTAGGGTAAAAACCGTTTCCACGGCCATATTTAAGGTTTAGCAATTATAGCAAGTACTCTCCCCAGACATGTTGGGAAAATACGCTATTTCTAGTCTTGGTTTAAACCGTTTAAGTCGTTGTGGAAGATTCGCTTGCCAAGCGTGGGAACTATGGCAAATATAATATTATATTTTGTATAATATAAATTTATATTGACAATGTAGTTACAGAGTGATCAGTGTTTGTTTCCGTAAGTGATCATAATGAAAAAACAAACCGCAGGTAATGATTCCGACCAGAATTACATATACTGCCCGGTCATCGGTCCTTCCTTGGTGGAACCGACTGATTCTTACTGTAGCTAAAATGATTGCCCTATTTTTTTTTCTCAAAAAACATCGTACATAGATGTAAAAACATCAGTAGAAGTCAAGTATATTAACTTTATTTACTTAATAGGTACATGAAATAAAATAACACCCAAACATGAACATAGTTATTGCAAATTTAACATCTGAATGCGCAATCATGTGCACAACATTTCATTAGCTACAGTAACGGGTACAGCGCAAATACCTTTATATCCTACGTATAAAACGAAATATGTTGTGGACAATTTTGGAAATTAAAGCTTTATAAAAACATTGTAGGTACTATAATATGTAACGGATCACTTGAATTTTTTTATATTGTTAATAAATATTTATTCAATTAATCGTGACAAAGGTATACATATTCTTTCTAGAATATTATGATAGAACGAATTATTGCTGTGAGCTTGCAAAGCAAAAGAAGGGTTTACTGATGGTGAAGTATTATAAAACAACGCTAGAAATTCATTCAACAATTGATTTTTAAATTCGTTTGATCGTTTTCGAATGGTTAATACTCGTAGGTAACATTTGTTTATTTGACGTAACAATGCCCTGATGCGAATCGCTGACTGAATATGCACGCGAAAAACTCATTTCAACATTTTGTATCTGCTTTTTATTTTTCAGAAAGATTACCTTTTAATCTATTTCATTTTTGCTTTCGCGAGCTGAGATTGCTATTCGGATTTCACTTTATTAAAAATATTTACTTTACGAAATGCTTGTTGCATTTTTACTTGCAAATTCCTGAACAGAAATTTAAGACTTATTAAAGTTTGTGTAAGAGCATCTATTTTACTTCTTTTGTTCAAAATTCCGGAAGGAAATATGCGTTCAGATATATATCGGTACTTTTAATCTTCTTCCACATATGATAATCTCTTGTGGGGTGTGATCTGCTCAGGTTGGCAACACATTTCATAAGTGGTAGAGCCACGCTCAATATAGTTGATATTATGGTTGTAGCAAGAATGGCTCGGCTGGAGTAGGACCACGCTCTCACAGAATACCAGCGTAAAACAGCTTAATGGTACTGTTTCATATGGTGAGTGTAGGGAACCAGAGACCTTATTTACTGGAAACGAGGCATTCCATCTTATTCCTCAGAGGTGACAATGCATCTATCTGCATTTGGATTCTTCATCGAGGATAGATGGGGCCAGAGTATCCACTTACCATCAGGTGGGCTGTGATACCTTCAATTACTTTTGTTTTATTGTGTAGAAAAAGCTTATTGTGTAGAAAAAGCTGTATTGTAGAAAAAGCTTTGATTACATATGGGTCTATTCATACTCAACTTTAAGATTATCATGTTGACACTTTTGGTCAGCCAATAACAATAATTTCATCCCTTTAATTTGTTTTGGATTTTATTTTACTAACACCAGACGTAACATACGCAGACCCGCGATGGGCAGAATGCGAAATTTCTGGTGCTGTGATTATTAATTCGCCCACCAACCGTGACGAAAAAGGTAAAACCTTTAAAAAATCAGTAGACTTAACTCATCATATGAAATACAGCGTCATATGCTGCTGTGAAATAGTAGCGTGGTATTCTTTTATCTTCGAGGCGCAACCTCAATATAGCTGCAAAGTCGCTCAACCATGTATACAACATGTAACATAATTAACGCGCTTTGAGAAAGTAGTTTGTTCAAAATCGTTTACTGAATCGATTCCTATAATTTTTAATATAGCTAATTTTTTATCCCAAAAATAATTAAAACTACGTAAATTACAGTCACACTAAATCTGTACAGTCAAAACAAACTGAAATGGACCGTAACTTGAGGCAATAAGACTTTTAAGAGTGCAGTTTTATTTGTGTTATTACTAATTCTGTCATTCAATAAAAAAAAAGAAAAATGAACTTTATTTCAAGCAGTTTCTTTGCGTTCGTGGATTTGTACTGTGACCACATTCTTCCGGAATTAGTATAACTAATTTGATAAATAATCAGTGCATAAAAATGTTTAACTAAAAATTCAGTGTATGTATTATGATTATAACATAATATACTAATTGGCGTGTCTGAGGGTGTGCGTTAATTACGTTACATATTGTATATGAAAAAATAAAAATACCTCATTTTATTTCATTTCAGTAGGGATAGCCTCACCGATGCATTTGGTGACAGTAAATGTGACAATGGTGACTACCGTAAGTCACCTGCACCGGAAGATGATATGCTTGGAGCCAGTGCTCATCAGCGACCTTCTGGTTAGTATTCAAATCAATATATTTATAAGTATCATTATGATGGTCTTGAAAATAGCATTTGTTTATTATGTTACTTTGAGGAAATCCATTGTATAAAACATATTAAAAATTACTTAGCTAAAATCCGCATGATGAAATAAAATGATGTGTCTATGTGATGAAGACACACCACTGTCGATAATTCGACACGTGTTATCGACGGTGACCACACGTGAGGTGACACCTGATGATGTTTCGTTTAGAGGCGAAACACGTGTCGTATTATGCACGATGGTGTGTCTTGTCCAGTGTAGTGGTGTTGGGAGTAGTGGTGCTGGGTTTAGTGGTGTCGGAGATAGTGCACGCAATTCCGCGTAATAAAATAAAATTTTATATTATTACGAGGATCTTAGGTAATTAATATTAAAAAATTTAAATATTTTTGGATTTATTATACACCAGGGTCGTGCTGAAAAGCGATTAAAGATTTATTTTAATGAGGCAAAACTAGACAAATACGTGTTGCGCCCTAAAGTGGGGTGGTGAGTTTTCTTAAAACGTAATAAAATTGCACCGGTATCAGAGATACTCGTAAGTACGCCCAAATTAAACATCGAAATCTTTTTATTTATTTTTTATTCTTTATTGCATTCCTTATTAATATATAAGAATACAAGGGCGGTATATTTTCTACATTTTCATACACATTCTAATTTCTGTGTTATAAAAATCTATAATATCAATAAAAATAGCGGGAAACATGGAATTTGATCTACGTACTGCTCACACGCAGAGCATCTGGTTATAAGTTTCACCAAAATTAAGTAATTAGTTTCAAACGAAATAGCAATAAAAGATTGCACCGAACTCACCGATGTAGGGAACAACAGGGCTGCGCTAAGTTTCGTCCCAACAATCGCATAGATTATATGCGTTATAAATATATTATTTAAAAGTGCTTTCAAAAAAATTACTCACAACTTTAAACATGCAGCATAAAATGTAAATAGTAAAACTGGTCAAAAACATAAATAAAACAAGTTTACCAACATCGTAAATTTAAGAAATTAAAGTGTATTTTCTAACTCAGTGATAGCCGTAAGTCTGTTAATACTTAATCTATTGTGATAGCACTAGTTTTCAGTCCGGCCCATACGCTTGATAATATTTTATTCAAAGAAGTTACCAAATCTACTTACTTATTTTAAATTTAATTAAATTTGATTTCTACTAAGTTAATATAACTATAATTTTCGTCTTGTAATTATTAGTGACGGAATCCGAGAACATGTTACCTCGTCACCTTTCCCCGGAAGTTGCAGCTGCGTTACAGAGCGTCCGATTCATAGCTCAGCATATCAAAGATGCCGATAAAGACAATGAGGTAGGTTAAACACCCTGTTCTTGTTAAATAATTGAAATGTATGTATTTTAGTATTATATATTTAGTAAAATCTAGTTGGGGATCGTCTTCGCTTACCGGTACGAAGCTGCCTTTCTTCCCCATCGAATATCCGTTCTTCGAGCTATATGGTCGGCCCATAGCCTACGATCATGTGCCTTTTCAAGAATATGCCAGATTGTACACTGTTCTAAAAATGTTTCCCATATTCACTAGGTAAATAAGATTTGGCTTATATATATAAATGAAAATATTATGATGTGTATATATATATATATATATATATATATATATATATATATTTTTTTTTTATAGATGTAAAATGTAAAACCACAAATTCTTTTTAAAAATAGCGATTGTAGAAAGGCGACCTCGTTAACCAGCCAGGTATTTTACGTCTGGCGTAAGTGGGATAGCTAAACCACGTCTATAGGAAACCATGACGTCTTTCTAGCATGTTTCACATAAGACAAACGAGACGAAATGGGATGGATTTTCTTAAGCCGCCATCACATGACAAAATAAATATGGCGGGCATAAACTGTTGAAAACTTCAACAAAAATGTAATGAATATTTCTTTTATAAAACTTAACTGAAAATCGGACTTGCAGTCTACCTGATGGTAAGTGGTTATTGCTGTTCATTGAAACTAACAACAAATTACAAACAAAGACAGCTTTAGATGCGTGTTCACCTCTGAAAACTAAGATAGAATTTCTCATATTGTAATCATTCTCGCTCTGTATATCATTCGAAACGAAACAGTTTCATATGAAATATCACTCGTATTTGAAATATATTATTTTAGTTAGATTATGGCAAATATGAGATAAATAACATAAATATGACTATTCTTTTCATGGTTATAATTACGTTGTAATTAAGGACAAAGGTATAATTGCTTGCTCATTCACGGGCTTTCTCTTAATATTAATGCAGTAGGGTGTTGTTATCGTGTCGTGAAGTTGGGGAAGTAATGAATGGGGAATGACGGGGATATTTTCATACGGGTCGAAATTAGAAGGTTTTCGTATATATTATGGTACAAACACATTAGAAATACGTGTGACATGTGTATTAAAATAACATATAGAACTCTTAGAAATTGTTTAGCTGAGCGGAGGTGAATATAAAATGTTTTGTTACTGAGAATCAGCATACTGAAATTGCTCTTACGTGGTAGAACCATGCTGTAGTTATATTATGGTTGCAGCTCGAATGGGTCGTTTCGACCGGGGAAGGACCATGCTCCCAGAATACCAGCGACAAATGGCAGCTAAATCCTGTAGTGTTTCGTATGGTGGGTGAATGTAGATAACTGGAAATTTTTTAATGGAAACGAAGCATTTCATCTTAGTCCTCAGGGATGGCAACGCATCTGTATTTTGATTCGATGATAAATGTAGACGTTTATGGGCCACAGCATCCACTTACTATCAGGTGGAATGTGTGATCGTTTGTCACACTTATTTTATAATCCGAACTCGAAGCTAGAGGTACCGCACAGCACCTTGATGCTGCTATCACTGATCGGTGATTTTATGTATACAAAGCGTTATGCCTGTGATCTGCGATGGAGTAGGCAGAGCCTGAAGAGCAGCGATTTACTTGGACGACGTCCAAAAAATGTTGGATTAGATTGTAAATTGTGAAAAAAGTGATAAGTGTCTGCCTAGCCCATCGTCTACGCAATCACAAATCCAATAATCCATTAGTCGCCTTTTACGAGATGCTAGACAAATAACACAGTTCCAAGCATTTTTTTGTCAAGTCCCATCTAAACAAGGGGAAGGGGTATTTTTATAAACATAAATCCCATCTTGTATTTTAAGCAAATGCTTAAAATACAAGATGGGATTTAGGATTTACCTGATGAAATAATTTCTTCGGTTCCTTACGTCACCAATAATGAAACTTAAGGGATGAGATGGAGTGATGATATTCTTATGACGTTCCATTTCATTTTACCCCTGTACCTAAGCTTTAAAAATAAATTAAGGAGTATACAAAATAAAAAAATAATGAATTAATAAATTAAAGTTAGTTTTGTGAGATAATTTTTAACTTCCCGCTATGAAAATCGATAATTTTCAAATAATGTGGAAGTTATTGTTTTCATCCCGGTTTTTGAAAATCGAGTTCTCTCATTAGATTTCGACGTCTTGAGGTCCGAGGGAGCTATTCTGGCTATTCTGGTTATTTTGGCGATGATATCTGTATGTCTTTATGTGTGTGCGTACGTGCTTGCATGCGTAGGTGCGTGCGTGCGTGCGTGCGTGCGTACGTGCGTGCGTGCGTGCGTGCGTGCGTGCGTGCGTGCGTGCGTGCGTGCGTGCGTGCGTACGTTCGTGCGTGCGTGCGTGCGTGCGTGCGTGCGTGCATACGTTCGTACGAGCGTGCGTGTGTGCGTGCGTACGTGCGTGCGTGCGTGCGTGCTTGCGTGCGTGCGTGCGTGCGTGCGAGCGTGCGTGTGTGTGTGTGTGTGTGTGTAAGTGCGTGCGTGCGTGGGTGCGTGCGTGCGTGCGTGCGTGCGTGCGTGTGTGTGTAATGCGTGTGTGCATGTGTATGTAAGCATGTAAACATCTCATAACTTTGTAACGGAGTGTCCGATTGAAAAGGAGTTTGCGACATCTAAAAGGGCCTTGCTGAACTTAGATTTGTTGTTAATTGAGACCGAATCAGCACGGTAGATGCTGAGAAAACCTTAAAAATCCAAATTACTTCGACACTCTTGTTTTGATCAATTCTATAATCTAATCAGCTCTGCTACTCAAAACATGATATCGGTTGCCGTGACCCACATCTAAATCGGTTTATTCGTCGAGAGATATCGTTTTCGAAAGAAATCTCGAGTGTTTTTTCAAAATAACTTGAAATATCAAATTTGAAGCGCTTTGCGTTTGATGTTGCAGGGATGGCCTGTAGGATTAACCGAATTTTTAGATAGAGAAAGGGAATGAAATAAGGAGCAGGACAGAGAACCATAGTGTCATATACAAGCATGATATCATTCATATATATGTTGTTGAATTCAATGTAATAATATTTTTGCAGGTGGTTGAAGATTGGAAGTTTATGTCCATGGTACTCGACCGCTTCTTCCTCTGGTTGTTTACTATCGCGTGCTTCGTGGGAACCTTCGGCATTATATTCCAGTCTCCGTCGCTGTACGACACAAGAGTGCCAGTGGATCAGCAGATATCGTCTATTCCGATGAGAAAGAACAATTTCTACTATCCTAAGGACGTTGAGACTATAGGGATTATTAGTTAAATTTAAATTTAATTTTAGAACTTAGTTAACTATATTTATTTGCATGAATAATTTCGATGTTAACGATTACTGTTTGTGTGAAAGGTACTAGTATGTTAAAGATTTTGGTTAAGTGCGTCTACAATATCTAATTATTGTTTTAATATGTTTTTAACCGACTTCAAAAAAAAGGAGGTTCTCAGATCGAGTGTAGGTATTTTCTTTTTTTTGTATGTATGTTACGCGATATCTTCACAGATTGTGAACCGATTGTAATAATAATAGCACTTACCCCAAGGATAGTCCCATTAAATTTTGAAGAAAAATTCCGCCCCCAAGGGTTAAAAATAGGGAAAAAAGTTTTATATTGGACTATTGCTTAAGGAATTTCATATGATATGTTCGCAAACAAATATCCGATTTCATATATTGCAAGGGTGGTCCCGTATAAATTTGGAGAAAAAATTCCACCCCTAAGGGGGTAGTATTCCACCCCTTCCACACCTAAATAAATAACTTCTTTTTTAGCAATTTGACCTCGACTTTTACTTTTTGTTAAAAGTTATAGTTGTGTGGTTCCATCGTACTTGATATAATATTACAAAAATATCGATAAAATATTAAGGTATAATAATACACGATCGGTAGTATTATAGTCATAATATAGGTGATAGTTTTATAATATTACATTTTTTTAAACATTGGAATTAAATTACTAGGTGTTAAGGTTCTTTTTCTATTTTGGGGTCTGTTTGGTCTGGTAAAAGACTTCATCCACCATTAACCAGTGCATCAACTACTGCTAAGTTAGGTTGTTGCCTATTACGACCAACGAGTAAGCACGGGCCTTCTATTATTTTCGACAGGGTTATAGAGCAATTAGTTCGTTGTCCTATTCCAGTGTGTGTTAGTGGACTTCACCTCACGAAATATTTTATTCTTAGGACATGCCGGTTTCCTCAAGATGTTTATCTTCACCAGAGGCACGTGGTAAATCAGCACTAAAACTTGTAATAAACAATTTCAATAGTGCCGACGGGTGTCTAACCCGGATCGCTGTGAAATTTATGCTACTTAGCCACTGAAAAACCCTGGCATCTTCTGCGTAAATTAGTAAGAAGACCAGTATAATAACATTCTATTAGTCATTCCATCTTACTTAAGTGTGACAGATTATCTGTGGCTTACTTTTTAAAATTTTTGTCACGTAGATTGTAAGTTTTAATTACTATTTTTTTTGTTATTATTATTTAAGTAACAACATAAATATTAACAACGAAAAAAGATAAGTACGATATTTGTTTTACCTTTTTAAATTATGTTAGTAAAATAATGCGTATGACGTGTATATTAATGTCCTCCAGACCGAATTTCGGTCACGGCGGCCAGCCTCAACGGAAGCTAGCCATCGGCGCAGGACAGAATTATGGTGTCCAAGTGTATGCGCAAGCACAGGTGCACTCACTATTACCTCACTCTCATAATCCGATGCGACGGTAAACCGACACGACCGGAGAGAGATCAAGCGCAGGACCAACGGCTTTACGTGCTTTCCGAGGCACGGGGGTGAGACACCGCCAACTTCCTGACTCCGGGCAGCTACTGAGAATTTCTTGACAGAAAAACTCAATAATTGATTTTTTTGGCCCGACCCGGGATTCGAACCCAGGACCACATGATCAGCAGTCGCACTACTACAACTACTAGAGCAACGAGGCACTCACGTGTATATTATTTATTATATTATGTTAAACGCATTTATACTTAACTTGTACACTTTGTTATTGAGCATTATTTAACATGGATTTTTTGTCAATATCGTTATTATTATTCTATGTTAAAAACATTATTTAAAATATAAAGGCCAATAAATAAACTTTCTGAAAATGCACCGTCTATTATAATAGAACTGTAAAAAATAAGTTTTATGCGTCTTAAATAAACAATTAGTTTACATTAACATTTTTTTTAAAATAAATATTTTGAGTGTATAAATAAAGGCTGTGAATATTATTTAGTAATAATTTGATATTATATATTAAGATTAAGTAGCTAAGCTTATCTTACATTATAATAAAGTAAATTTATAAAACATTATAATATGTTATTTAACATATAAAAATGTAATAAAATGAATAAATAATGTTTTAATTGACATAAATAGTTTTTTTTCACACGTATTTACGCTGTGATTGAAATAGTTAGTATCCTTTTAAACTTATGATACAATACTTATGATACAATCCAGTTGGGGCTAAGGTAACGCCAAATCTCAAGCTTTAATACGGCGAGTAAGTAAAAAATAAGAATAAACATAAATAATAAACATCAAACAATAATAAATATAAACATCGTAAACTCTAAAAATGTTGCAAACAGTATTTTAACAGTCAGGAACAAGGAAAGGTTTATTTTACCCTACAACTAGGGCGGAATTATCTTAAGTGCCACCCTGGGGGACCGGGAAAAATACCGCCCTATTACTTTTTTTATATAAATATATAAAAAAAGTAAAGTTACAGCCTATATACGTCCCACTGCTGGGCAAAGCCCTCCCCTCACTTCTGAGAGGGTTTTAGGCCAAGGAAGTGTCCGCCGCGCAGCCCCAATGCGTGTTGGCGAACTTCACATGTCTTCGAAATATTTTTTTTCTTATTCCTCAGACATGCAGGTTTCCTCACGATGTTTTCCTTCACCGCCGAGCACGTAGTAAATCAGCACTTAAAATTGCAATTAACAATTTCATTGGTGCCGGCGGGGATCGAACCCGGGTTACTCGCGTTCTGTTATATTTACAGCGAGCGTTAACCCTCTGAGCTATCACGGCTACCTGTGACCTATATTTTTTAATTGAGTAAAAATTAGGTTGTAGGACCGGTATACAAGAACTATTTATTAAAAAAGGATATTGTACAATAAATGTTATTCAAAAATTTTTATGTACTGTATACTAGATTCTCAAACGTGAAGATGCAATGAGAACTCGATTTTTAAAAATCGGCACCGAACTAATAACTTTCCATTTTTTTTGAATCGTTGATTTTCGTAGCAGAAAGATATTTTTTTCTCACACTCCAAATTTTGTCGCCCTGAAAACAACTGCACCTAGTGTAAATACATCACTGCCTACAACTACTCAAACATTCTATCTAGTTCGGCCGCCTTGCGGATGGTGCGAGTTTACTGTCATGGACAGTACATAATTTTTTCAATCAAGTAGTTCCACAACACCTGTAAATATATATATATATATATATATATATATATATATATATATATATATATATATATATATATATATATATATATATATATATATATAATATCCAGCAAATCTGAAAAAAAGAAATTAGTTGATTTTTGCTTTAGTTACGTTAACAATTAGTACTTCACAAGCTTACAGCTTAACATAGGCTTTCCTCAAAGAATGCCACGAAAACTGTTCAAACCGCCTGCATCCATCGACTTCCTGCGTATCTTACTAAGTCGTCACCCTATATCTAGTGGGGAGGGAGCATTCTACATGATATTGTTTGTTGGTACGTATTCCTTTAGGTAAAATAAATCAAACTTTTTAGAGTCCTCGAAAAAGAAAAACAAAATTTCAAATGTGCAATAAAGGTAAAAATCATAATAAAATAGCTTGATGCTGTGTTTGTATGGTGAGTGTAGAGAACCGGAGAATCCTTTCACTGGAAACGAGGCATTCCATCTTACTCCTCAGAGGTGACAATGCATCTGCATTTTGATTGTTATCCTCGATTAAGAATCAAAACGCAGGTGCGCTGTCACCCCTGAGGACTAAGACGAAATCCCTCGTAACCAGTAAAAAAGGGTCTCCGGATCTCTACACTCACCATACGAAACACGGCAGTATTAAGCTGCTATTTTACGTTGGTATTCTATGAGAGCGTGGTCCTTCCCCGGTCGTGCCGACCCATTCGTGCTACAACCATAATATAGCTGCAGCATGACTCTACCACGTATGCTCGTTTGTCACTCTTATTCTATAAAAAACCCCACTAAGGTTAAGAATGAAGCTGAGAGATGGAAATTTACACACACATATTTATTATCTATCAAATTTATGATAAGCTGATAATACCAGTTAATCAACTTCACTGAGTCAGTAATTCATGAATACGTTTCTATAAAAATACGTTTTAATTTTATTAACCCCTGATAACTACTTGGAATAAATGTTTGTGGTCAAGCAGTTTCGATTAACGATTCTAACCATTTTACTCTCCCTTAAGTAATGTGTACGGACATTTCAATTGTTTAACTATTGTGTCTTTTCCGCGGACAGAGAAGTTGTAAATAATAATTGTACAGCTTATAAAGTTTTCAAATGTTACCATAAAAAAAAAAGAAATTCCAACTGGGTTTATAGCTCGTTCTTCCCGGGACAGAGGTTTCTGAACCAGTGGTAGAAGTATAAAAGTGACTTTAAACGAGTCATCATCATGATTACATTATCATCATTACAATCTTTTACTCGTTCAGTGCTGAACAAAAGCCCCACTCAAGGAATGCTACAAAGTACGTCCCTGAGCTACCTGCAATTTATCGACTCCTGCGTATCTTACCAAGCTGTCATTCGATCTAGTGGTAAGTCGTCCTATACTCTACTAGCCTCGGCACAAGGCTGCAACTCAATTTACAAAGTAGAAGTGACAACTGCATTTCATCTTAAGTGGCTACTGTACTCCACAGAAATCTGCAGCCTACTTCAGACGAAGAAAGCCACAGAAGCGTTGTCACCTCTGTTGACTCTCACGCTGCACGCACTGCTGCTTGGTGGTAGGAATAGATAATAGAGTGGTGAACGGCGTTCTCAACGTGGTAGAGCCATGCTGCAGCTATATTACTAAGTACTTATAGTTGAAATCGGGGAAGGACCACACTCTCACAGAATACCAGCGCAAAACAGCAGTTCAACGCTGCTGTGTTTCGCATGGTGAGTGTAGTGACACAGAGATCCTTTTACTGGAAACGGGGCATTTCATCTTAGTCCTCAC